GAAGATAAAATATTATAGTGATTGAAAATATGTAGAATTTGCAATCAAGAAGATTAGTAGATCATATTTATTTTTAGCTTTAAATTTATTCACTGTTCATATTACAAATATAGTCAAATATCGATTTTCTAAAAAAATACAAATTTAGCTATAATTTCATCAGGTTTAACCTTAAAAATTTAACTATTAGATATTGCTATTAACAAATCATTTAAAACAAGGATAAAGTATATGAATTATTATATAAATAAATATATAATTAATAAATTTATTTATTTATCTAATATATATATATAGGTATAAAATTATTATAACAATTGGATAGCCAATGAAGTTTATACTTATACTAAAAAAGATTATATTTAACATCTTGCATACAATTTAATTGCTAAATAGATATTAGATGCATAGAACAGTATAGACCTACTCTTATTCATAAATCTCTTAAATACTATAGCATTTCTAATTTATAGGATGAAAAAGAAGACTATCTAATTTTTAACTATAATCAACTTAAACTATAAACAATCTACATAATCATATATATATTAAAAAAAAAATTAAATGATATTAGTAAAGGTTTTAGTATTAATATACAAGAAGGTTCTAGTATTAATATACAAAAAGATTCTAGTATTAATATACAAGAAGATTTTAGTAATAATACAGAAAAAGGTTCTAGTAATAATGTGAATAAAAGTTTAAGTGTTAGTATAAGTAAAAATTTAAATACAAATATAAGTAAAATTTAAATATTAAATTAATAAATTTATATATTAAATAATTCTAGTAACTTATTTAAATTTAGTAGAAAAAATTAATTTAATTAGTAATAATAATAGTTAATTGGTGATTTACTACTTAACCAAAAAGAGCTTATAGTATAACATAATATGGTTTACATATAGAAATTAGAGTTTTTGAAATATGAGCTGTTTCTATTTAAAACTTTTTTTCATACTAAGTTAATTATCTTTGGGCCTCTAATTGAAGTTGTAGAGCTTGTTGAGACAAATCTAATAGTAGTTAAATGTTAAAATCAGCTTGGTGGATCACAAGATATCTTCGAAAAATGTTTTACTGACTATGTAAACTTCTCTTTTAACAATACTATTGTTGAAAAAGAAGTTTACATAGTCATC